TGGCTTAGACTTTGCATCATTATATCCAAGCCTTATCATGACATATAATCTCTCACCTGATAAAATGATTTTATCCCGAGAGCGTGCTGAATCTTTAAAGAAAAGCGGTAAAAAGCTTCATGAAATTAATTTCAAATTCAATGGTAATGATGTTCTTGCATGGTCTATAAGACATAATAATATTCCTGAAGAAAAGGGTATTTATGCTATTATATTGGAATATTTATCTGCCAAACGGAATGAGATAAAGAAACGTCTCGCCCCTTTGAAAGAAAAAAAGGAAGATATGGAACTGGTAATAGGTTTAATGGGTAAAGATTTGTCACTACCAGAAGCTATTGAGCATGTTTTAGCAAAATAAAACACAAGCCCGAAATGTGAGCAAACTTTATTTGAAAACTTTATTAATATTAATATCGCATACATAATAATTACTCTTCATAAATTTCATTTCAATAACTTTTTCAGTTGAGGAGAATCAGGTAAGTCTCTAATAAAATTATCTTTTTTAGTTGGTTTGGAGGATCTTGTTCGACACTTATAATCTCCTGCCAAATTATTGACACGTTCCTAAAAATACAAATATGATGCAATCATGAGCATGACATATTATAAAGATAAAAATGTAGCACAATATATACCTCCAATGCAATAAAGTGAGACAATGTTTGAGCAAGAAGTGGAAGAGTCTGTCTATCAGTTATAAGATTGGTTTTTAGAAAAGGCCAGGATCGATATATTCCTTCGAATTCGAGATCCATTATAAATGACTCGACAGTGTTGCCTAAAATTTCAAATGAACGATCAGTGAATATAACGAAAATAAATGATAAAAAGTTCATGATAAGATATACTATATATACCCATGTTAATAAAAAATATCGTTTGATCAGGAACACCTCCATTCTTGATCAAAGTATTTATAGTCTTCTTTGCCCTAAAATTGACTTTAACATAATCTTTATCTCTTTGTAGTTCCGTATAACCAATGGGTTTTACTTCAGAATTAAGGATTGGCACATCATCCACAACGCATGAAAAATCCGGCCTCTTTTGGCTCCCATTGACAGTACGATTCAATCTCAATTTATAATTTTTATAAGGACCACCAAATATTTTAAGAAAAGGATCTAGGTATCGAAACCTATGTTCATCTTCGGATGTTTTGCGTGGGGCTACAATTGGAACATCATCAGCTCTAAATAGTAAAAAAAGATTAGCTCTTCAACATTTTTTCCTTTAGAATTAACAAAAATGCTTAAATCTAACTTACAATCCATAGAAAATTTGTTTCGCTAAATGACTACGCTTACTGTTATCATTTATACCTATAAAATCAGTAATTAGGCCTAACGATTTTTTGAAAGTGGCATCATGTAATAGCGTTGTTAAGTCAGCATTTAATACTGGTTCGGTCAACTTAAATGGGTTATTATCGGTTATTTCAAGCCACTCGTCAGCTGTAAAAGTATTATACGGGCAGGGCCAATCCAGAACTATGATTGACGACAAAGCCCTAATGTAATGGGAAAAGATATGTTAATAAATATGCGATGAAATGTTTTAGAATATTTAATTAATACTTACAGTAGATCAAAAGTATCATGCCATGTTAGTTTTTTAATACCGTGTTTTATGTCATAAAGAAGGTCGTTTTGAAACTGTCTAAATTTTTTCGTGACATTAATCTCACCAACTTTCCACTAAAATACGAAAATAATAATTATAATTATATGACAACAGAAATAAAATTTCGATTTACTACGTACTTGAACTTTAGATTCTATTTTCACTTGTTTTTCGAGATTATCAAAATAATAATTTATCCAGTCATCTATAACTTCCTCAACTTCTTCACCTGAGGTAAAATCATCAGGTTCATTGTTGTTGGATTTATTACTGGCACTATACACAAAATACACAAAGAAATGTTTAATAAATATACGGGCACTGAAAAGTTCAAGCGATCACCATTAATGAGATCAAAAATCTACCTTGGAAGGTGTTGAGGTGTCTCAAAAAGAGAATTATCTGTCAAACTACATGGAGATGGCGTAATATCACCATCATGATAAACCCTTTTTGACATCCGATCTTCATTATAATCTACTTCTTTTCTTTTTCGCAAATAAGTACTTTGATTTGGCTCATCCTAAATAATATACCAAACAAATTCACAAAATTTTGAAAATAATTGAGCAGTAACAACATAACACTTACTTGTCTATCGCCACAGGATTGGAATATATCAACAAGATCTCGATGTTGGATGTCTGTTACATGTCGTTGGCTTTTATTTGTTGCTTCAAATATATGCAACAATCCATTTGTCTTGTAAAGGAGGCTAATTATTAGATTATGCTAAAACTGACAAACCGTTCTTTTTCGATTCTTTCTTCATTATACTTTTTCTCTATCATTGCCCAGAAATTAATGACACCTTCAGAAGACTTCTCGTTCTTTTTGTTAAGAAGAAACAGACATTATTGTAAGATCAGATATCAGATAACATTTTTTGAGATCACCATATAACCAACAAAACAAAGGTTAAGATGAGTGAACCATAGCTTGTGAACAACCAGTTGGTACGTAGGCATCCGGTTGCGTTATGGCAGTAACATATGTCTATTCAAGAACATCAGCCAGTGCGTAGTAGCTAGCTGCTCGGGGTTTGTCAATACGTCACGTAAAATGTCTCGGGACCGGAACGTATTCTAGTCTTGAACCCATTCATCTCACCCAGTGGCAACGAATATATACTTAACTTTAAAACCGGAAAGAAGATCTTGAGCTTGGGCGTTATTTAAATTTACCGCCAATACGTCCAAAGCTTTTTTGTATAAAGCATGTTCCTTTCTCCTATTGCATGTAAAATTGTCATTTTCTGCTCTAAATTTCAAAAATTTAAGTAATGACTAGGTTTTATTTTTTTTGAAAAATTTTTCGATTGTTTCTTCAGCCTGTAATTGTAGTAATGATTCGTCAGACATTTCTTCTCCAGAAGTCGACATAGTTGTCAACTTTATATAGGCAAAACCGCGTACAGAAATCGATTGTCGCATAATTCTGGGAATGGAGTAAATGGAGTAACACTAGGGATGTTAAAGTCTGTGATTGAACGGTTCAGACCATAGTCTGATCATAGAACCGGTTTCGGTTCGGTTATAG